AGTATTTCCTGCTTTCTTAGTGTGATAGCCTTCAGTAACATCCTACTTTTTTGAAAAGGGTTGTCAATCTCATGGTTTCTCTTTGCTAAGTTGATAACCTAAGTCTACCTCCTAATAACTCACATGCATATACATTTGTGCACACTTTTTTTTGCAGGGAATAAGCTATGACACAGATTTGACTGTTACAGTCAAATTATAATAGATTCTGCAGGAAAATCAAAACTGGCTTTGGGGAAAGCTTTAAAAATTAGCATTCAAAAGTTTTTTTTTCCCCCTCCTATTTTACTCCACATTACCTTCAGAAAACAAATGACATCTATTTGAGATAAAACTGCTGCTATAATTTAGATAAATTCTCATTGTACATTATAAATATAACATGCTATATTTAGTTTGCATATAAATTTTATGTAAAAGGGAACTTCTGACATGAATATTCATTTCATATCCCTGATATTCTATGTTAAAAATCAAACCCTGAATAAATTAAGAGCCTCCAGGTCATGGCACAGCAGAGCACAGAAGCAGCCAGGTCTCTAATCTGGCCCTAGGCTCTTTTTAATCCATTGTCCAGTCTTTCCAATGACACTTTTTCTCAGACACTGGCAGAGCGTAGCTCTGTCATCGAGCTCATATGCTTGCTTGATGGAACATTGTTGCACTTTTTACTCTAGTTTAAATGGGTAACTTGACAATATGAGAAGTATATTGGCATCTATCCGTCCAGAATCTACCTTTCGAGATAGTTCTAACTGAATTATTTGTGATTACTTTTCTCTTTTGGTTAGGACTGTATCTCAAGATAACTAAATCCTAAATATGACCCCTGCATGAGGCTTTTAGATCTCCTTGCTAATATGCTAAAGTTGATCTTGACAGCAGGCATCTATAAGATCTCTCAAAATTGTTGAATGGGAGAAAGAAGGGTCAATAACCTTCCATACAAGAAAGTTCTGAAGGAAAAAATTCAAAACGCCTTGCAAGAGATGAGTTACAGCGTATCTATGAAACCACAGCGGAAGAGTACAAGGGTCATTACAGAATGTTTTCTAAAGATACGAAACTCAATAGACTTCAATTTAAATAGTCAACAGGATGTGGAACTTCCACAGGTAAGATATTGAAAATAACAGGGAAGCATTATCCTGCCACTATACTAAATCACAAGATAGCTGGATCTGTCACACCAAATATAAGTCTGTATTGTTGAAACATAGCAAAGTATATGAAAGAACAGAAATTCCAAAGCAAAACCGTACTTCTTAAGGAGATAAAGGGATCAATTTGAGAGATTAGGTTTTACAGTTAGAAAACTTTTCTACTCAGGAAGAGTTAAAATTTATATGAATACATAAAATGAATAAACAAAAGTCTTTTTTTTCCTCAGGATAAAAAAAAAGGATGGTGTAAAAGTAATCATTTCTCGTAAATTATGTTATCAGAAGTCTGGGAAACATCCCTTGAAAATAGAAGGAAAGTAAATTTAGTAGGAATGAAAAAGCATTTTTTTTTACATACTAAGTAGCTCATAGAGTGACATGGGTTGAAAATCAAGTCAGTTCAAGAAGACTTGAGAAAAACCCCTGCACAGAGCTTCAGTCTATCACTGGGAAAAAAACAGGATGAACTCGTTTGTAAACCACTCTCTTCTCTGTAAGTCGTTCAGTCATATTACAAATCTAGACCCTCACAATGGAGGGACTGTGAAATGTTTGATAACTTCCTTGGCCAGACCTCAGTAATTAAATGAGACAAGATAGAAGAAGACTCATTAACGGAGGTATCAAATCAGACATGGCCTTTTTGTCTATATCATACCTTCGGTAAAATGTTATAGCATTCCTATCCTGTTGTCCTTAGTCTCCTCCTCACCTCCCACCTCCTGTCAAAAAAAGACCAATTTTCTGCCTTAATAATGATTGCTCCCTAGTACAGGACATTAGGACTCAGTGGGACTCTAAATCCTCCATTTTATTGAGAGGTTGTGACCACCCATAATTTAATTTTCTCTCAGTGATAGAACCTGAGATATATTCAAATACAGTGTGTTTTCTACAAGAGCCTAACGAGAACCCCCCTTATAGTTACAGATCTAGTAAAACACTTAGAACTCAGTGTCAGATGGGAGGCACTTAGAATTCATCAGCTTTAATGAATAATATACTGTTTGGACAGATATATTTGATATAGAAAATCCTCCAAGCAAGAGAATCATTCATATATAATTTTTATTCTAGAAAATCTCCTTTTATCTTAAAAATTCCCAGATAAATTAACTCCATGAAGTCAGGATATCTTAAAGAAATGTTGCCTTGGGGTGCCTGGGTGGCTCAATGGGTTAAGCCTCTGCCTTCGGCTCGGGTCATGATCTCATGATCATGCTCGGCAAGGAGTCTCCTTCCCCCTCTCTGCCTGCTGCTCTGCCTACTTGTGATCTCTCTCTCTCCCTGTCAAATAAATAAATTAAAAAAAAAAAAAGAAAGAAATGTTGCCTTTAGGAGATATTTCCCTAGGTTAGAATTTTAATTATCACAATTAAACGTGTACCTTATTTAACCATTCAGCTGTGGTTTGGATATAATTTCTAGCCAACTTTCATGGAAAATTCTGTTACAAGTTTTGTAAGTAGGAGGCAGCCAATGAGTCTTAATTTCACAAGTTAATAAAGGTTTGAAGCTTCTGGTTTTTTTTAATTTTTAATTTTTTATAAACATATGATATATTTTTATCCCCAGGGGTACAGGTCTGTGAATCGCCAGGTTTACACACTTCACAGCACTCACCATAGCACATACCCTCCCCAATGTCCATAACCCCACCTCCCTCTCCCAACCCCCCTCCCCCCAGCAACCCTCAGTTTGTTTTGTGAGATTAAGAGTCACTTATGGTTTGTCTCCCTCCCAATCCCATCTTGTTTCATTTATTCTTCTCCTACCCCCTTAACCCCCCCATGTGGCATCTCCACTTCCTCATATCAGGGAGATCAAATGATAGTTGTCTTTCTCCAATTGACTTATTGAAGCTTCTATTTTTTAATGTTATTTACCATTTTCTGACATTAAGCAACATATCTCACTGTTTATTATCTATCTAGGTCCTCTAGTAAAATTTAAGCTTCATAAGGGCAAGGATGTTTTTTTCTTCTCTCTTTTTTTTTTTTTTACTTTTGTATCACTATTGCCCTGTACTGTACTTCTACATAGAAAGTTCTCTACATATTTTCATTAGTTACATAAAAGAAAAGTCTAGAAATACTATATCTGCTTATGCTTCACTGTATCTATAACATTTTTCAAAATTAAATATTCTATATTTCATTTGGAATATCAGAAATTTTAGACATTCCATATAAGTTACCCATAATGGGAATTTTAGCCTTCTAAATGCTTCTTTAAGAATTATTTACAAGAATCTACGGCCATACCACCCAGAACGTGCCCGATCTTGTCTCATCTCGGAAGCTAAGCAGGGTCGGGCCTGGTTAGTACTTGGATGGAAGAATTATTTACAAGAAATTTTCTATGGAGAAAACTCCATAAAGAACATATTCCTAATGTGAAATATTTAATTTAAATGGGAATAGGCATGTTTATTTTATATTGAATATTAACTGCAATATCATAATTATTTTATGCAAGAAGAACACGTTATCTAAACCTTCCTTCTAATTTAAGCAAGATCACACTATATGCATGTCAGATTAATGAGAATATACTCTATCTTAAAGGTCACTTAAGGTATTTTTTTGAGACAAGATGGGATCAGGAGGGAGAAAAACCATAAGAGACTCAATCTCACAAAACGAACTGAGGGTTGCTGGGGGAAGGGGGGTAGGGAGAGGGAAGTGGGGTTATGGATGTTGGGGAAGATATGTGCTATGGTGAGTGCTGTGAAGTATGTAAATCTGGCGATTCATAGACCTGTACCCCTGGGGCTAATAATACATTATATGTTAATAAAAAATTAAAAATTATAATTAAAAAAAGAAAAAAGGTATTTTTTCTAATATATTTGCAAAATATATCAAATCTTGTTGCTATGAACTATTTTTATTGTCAGTATTTAGAGTATTTATAATCTTTAAAATTGAAGAATGTATCTATGTCAGATTGAGATATAGTCCTTTTTTTTCCTGCCTTTTCCACATTTTACAGTCTCTCCAGTAGTTTTGACACTTAAGCCAAACTGATCTTCTGAGACTCTGAATCATGAAATTTTCAGATATTTTTTAATTACTAAATGATGAGATGGATATGATACCAGAGAGGTTTAAAATGATGGGCTAAATTGAGAAAATGTGATTTCTAGGCAAACCACAGTAGGATAGAGGAAAGGATAATTAAAATGTAAATTTTAACTATGACTACAATAACAAGAAGAGAGGAAAACAAAGCTTTTACCAGCTACTTTAAAGTTTTCTACCTTACCAAGATTTGCTGCAGATCCCCAAACATTTTTCTTTCTATGGAAAGAACAGAGAGATTGGAAGATGTTCTAATGTTTAATTTCCTATTATTTTGATTGAATATATTTGATTGAATATATATTTGAAGATAAACTTAATGGATTGATCTTAAAGAATGGTTATAGTTACTCTATGTGTAGAATCACTAATTCTGAAGAGTGATTTATATTTGTCTTTTAGAAGGTGTATCTATTAAGAAAATTAAGAAAATATAGCCAATGAGATATGTTGAAAATCTTAAAAGACAAGCATACAAACAAAAATACCCAGGAAATCATTCATGGACATGAAGTCACTGAAATCACAAATCCTAAAACCTAGAGTTACTTCTCATAGGCTTCGTCTAGGAGCAAGTCCCCCAAAACTTGCAAAGTATTTATTTAGTTTTGGGGATTAAGCTTTGGAGCTGCAGTAACAAGAACCTGTTTTATGTATGCCTACGTCCAAAACTTTAATGACCATTCTTTTCTGGGCAACGAAATTCCATGGCAGCAACACGTTTTTATTATATTTTCTATAGTAACACATTTACCCAGGACCCACGGTAATATCATCCACTCGACGATGGTTGGTGGTGGACCTTGCCTGTTCAAGTCTGACCTGTCGATGTGCTGAGAGGCAAGCAGCAGCAGGAACAAAAAAGTCAAATAGGACGCTGTATGGCAGATGAACTTGATAAATGGCTTTCTGATGAATAGTCCCAGTGGGCTTTTAGGAGCTATAAGGTAGCACACAGAGAAGACGGGAAAAAGAAGTCCTATGATGAAACACGTCACCATCTTCACCGCCCAGTGCCGTCTCCTCCAGCCTGGGAACTCATCGTACCAGCGAGATGCAAGCAGTTGTTGACAATTGGGCTGAGCAACAAACTAAAGAGAAAGGAAAGGTAAAGGAAGAGTCAGCGTACATGCGGTGGCTTCAGTTCATATGTAAGACCACAGATTTATCTTTAAAGCCAGAAGTCCTGCTTTAAATAATTTTATACTGGGTGCTTGGCTGGCTCAGTTGGTGGAATATGTGACTCTTGATCTTGGGGTTGAGTTTGAGCCCCACATTGGGTGTAGAGATTACTTAAAAAAATAAAATCTATAAAAAGTAACAATTTTATAATTAATCAAAAAGTCCTTTAAATAGTTTTGTGAATAAAGCCCATTTATTTAACATTTTGGGTTATTTAACATTTGGGTTGAGGCAATAAGAAAAACATACATGAAAGCATATTAAGATTACCAGAATGTAGATCATCATAGCTGAATTTGTTGGAAATAAAACAGATACTTTGCCTAAGTATAATCAATTACCATAAACCAAACATTTCACAAACACAACATCATTTTATCCTGACAACATGTTGGAGATATGGTATATTCCTTACTCTCTTTTAAGGATGAGGATAGAGGGTGTTACAAGAGGTCAGTAAATTTACTCAAGGTTACAGATCTAGTAAAGGATAAAATATTAGACTAACTGCTCCAGGTTTGTTTTTTTTTTTTTCTGCACACTCCCTTTCTCATTGGAACTGACAGCTAGGCATTATACAAATTCAGAGGGAGTTACTTCTTCCAGACAGAATCGTCCAAGAACACTTCCCAGTAGATGTAGGCTCTGAAGGGACAGATTTGTACAAGCAGAGAAGAGAGGGGAAGGCAATTAAAGGCAAGGTATGGTGGGAAAGAGAGAACACACACTGCCAAGAAGTGTTTAAGGGATGCCTTATGGGCAGTCTGACTGCAGTAGAAGCTTCAGTTTCTTGTAAGGGACTTGGGAAAACTCTACTGGCATCGTATTTCTTCTTTAGTCTTAGCCTGTATGAATTTCCTTTAGACAAGACTTTGCCCTTACTCTTTTCTGATGGTAAGCAAGCAAAAAATCATGGAGTTCACGTAAAGAGCCTTGGTTATCACAAACTAAAAGTTGTTTGAGAGTGAAAACAGAGACAGGATGATTGACTGAAAGAGCATTTCAATAGTCCAGCTGTGCAAACATATGGGCTGGACATGAAATGATTTCTCATGCAACTATTTCTCATCACCTTGTCTTAGAAACCCTACTCATCAAAGGATATAGTGGGCAAAGAAATATGTAATAAATCAAATCAAATTTATAATAATAGGTTAAATAGATATAGATAAAATAATACTGCATTTCTTTAAGACTTGGGTGACATGGGCTGTGTTTATTACTTGTAAGTAATTAGTAAAATCAAATTTTATAATCCAAAGAACAGCTTTTCTTAACACCATCCTTGACTATTATTCTGGTCAAAGTCAGGTATTTGACATCAAAATAGAGTTCTTGCTGATGTATCTGCAGAGTAATGGCAAAGAGTGATGTAAGTCATTAACAAGCTCTGTTCTTTTTAAAAGACCTGCCCCCCCAATACACATACACAATCCTTCCCATCAGCATTTTATAAACAAATCAGTTTATCATCTTCTTTCTAGTTTTTCATATAAAACATTCTTCATACCATTAGAATTTAGCACAGATGAAAGGCCTTAATAAAAGGGAGTTTAGCTTACAGAAAATACAAGATCTAACAAGCAGTTGCTATAATATCTCATTAATATTCACAAACTGAAGAAACACTATGAGGGGCTAAGTATGAACATATTTAGTACACACAGAAAAAGTAAAAGAAAGGTATGTACTTTGTTTAACATGATCTGGGTGAATTCTAGGACTAACCACCTCTGCGCTTCTTGGCTCAAATCTCATTATAACATGAAACACCCCAGTACAATTGAACAAATAACTTTATTAGGAGCATTTAAAGTTTGCTTGGATAAATATTTCTGTTGCCCAATGCACACATATAGACTGTGTTAAATTACCTAGAAGAAGCAAATTATTTAGTCCTTCTAGAACACCTGCCATTGCCAAGCACGAGGTGAACCTTAATTCTTACTAATGTTTTTCTTAAAAGTTTTTTTTTCTTTAATTATTGGAAAGTATACATCTGTGCCTAGTAAATGAAGAGTGTACGTGATTTTCTACTAAACACTAACACAGTGGGCCTATGTCGAGGTAGAGAATAGAGACAGGATTGTAAGAAGAGTAGAAGTGAGTGTATATAATATACAAGTTTCCCCAAATGTGGATATTATTTTACTACAAATCTGTTTAAATCATAGGATTGAAATAACCCGAAAGTATCCCTATAAGGAATACTATTCCTATAAGGAACCCAAAGGAATAATGTAATAACCCAAAGAGAATCACTATAAATATAAATGCCCTCCTAATGGTTTTATATCCTTTCTCTACTATCCCTGTTCACTACATGTCTATACCAGCATCCCCCAAATTGTACATTATTAATTAGTAGATTTTTCATGAAAAAATGGGTTTCATGTTCAATTAGATACCAACATAAGGATTAAAAGAATTAAACTTCTAGATTACGGGATTTTTTTTTTATCTTTAATTGCTAAAGTGGATTAAAACATTTCATTATCTCATGTGTCCCTTCTTCTTTCTATTCTTTGTTTTTTTTTTCCTTTCTTTCATGCTCACTGTGTACTTCATTTCTTCTTTGTCTCCTCCTTCCTGTTTTTCTTTTTCTTTCTTCCTGTCCCCCCCCACCTCACTGCCAGTCTCATGGTTTATTTGGATTATTTACAAAAACAACCAGCTTTACTCCATCTCCTTCTGAAAGACCTCCTCAGAGAGGGGCCACCCTATGTCTGACACCTGTCACCGGGCCATTCCAAAAAAGCCCTCCCCAGATGGGCCATCATGTTGCCTGCAGCATGCTGGGAGCCCACAGCTCCTGCCTCCCCTGCATCATCTTTCTACTGCACATTGAGTCACAGAACTACCCTTCCAGAACTGGGGAAAGTGGGGTATCTCTTCAGGCACACTGAGTTACAGCCTCCCTTTTCCCTACAGTTGTTGGCTAATTCTAGTACAACTCCTGCCATCACATTAAAATTCATATTAAAACATTAGGAACATTCAAATTCACATTTGTGCCATGCATTTATAAAAGACACTTAAAAAAAAAAAAGGAAAAACTTTCTATCCCTCCTTTCAGTAACCTTTAAGAAAGTTTCAAAAGCCTGATCTCATGATTATATACAGAATCATTGAATCATGGTATTTGAAATATTAAAAAACCGTAAATGTTATTGAAATCTAATTTTTACAAATAAAGTGGGATCCAATATTAATGATTTTTAAAACAACTACTCAAAATACTAAAACACTCAACACCATAGAAGAAACAAAAAAATGATGAAGAGAAAGGGTAAAGCTACAAAGTAAAAACAAAGAAAAAACCCAAAAACTGAAACCAGCAAAATAAGAAACCTTACTCCTACACGAAGAGGAATTAAATATTAACTGTATATGGACATAATCAACAGAAGAGAGTTCAAAAATTAAGGAGCCCTAGTAATTAAAATAACTACTGATCAGATTTACTTGGTAATTGTTCTTTCTTCATCTTTTCAGTTTTTAAATATATTTTCTAGTTTAAAAATTGTATCCAAGATTCAAACTGCAGCCATATTCACTATAAGAGCAAAATCTAGATTCTGGAGACAACCAACCTGGCTACTTTATGCATCTTGACTAAGTCAGATAGTACAGGGCAGTCTCAATTGAGTTGAGTCTCCAGAGAATTGAAGCTTTTGAGTTGAATGTATTAGAGTGATTTACATATAGGCAATCTGTTTTCTTTGCTTAAAAAGGACCAGTTTCCTCTGGGTCTTACTGTTTATTTCTGAGCAATTAAAGAATAATCTATATCCTTTGGGGTTTCATTTCCTCTGCCCAGGAATGCTTTCCAACAGCTCATTTTGTAAAGTTGATAGCAAGGTTTAAGGATGATTTGTAGGCTGAGGAGCTTTAGGGAATTATTTTGTCCGTAGCTAGAAATGCTTTCTTCAACTTCAGTCCCTAATTTCCTTCATCTCTCCCAATGCCCTTTAACCATCTGGGCCTCTCCCTGTTTCTTAGAGATAGCTCTAGTTGTGTTCCTAATTAAAACAGTTCTGGTCTCCTGGAGCCCCACTATGCTGCATAACTGATCAGATGCTACTACTTTAATAACAAAAATCATTTCCACCTGGTCCTCCCCTAACTTAATTAAGCCAGTAGCATCATCTGTGAGTTGGACATTGGCTAGGTAAGTGTGGAAAGGACCAAGATCTGGAAGAACTGGATAAGTCTGTCTTCTGGGAACTCAACAAATGTTGGGGATTGATCATGTGACCAGTCTACCAGTTTTTCTAATTTTTTCCTATTGTTTTATTTTTCATTTTCCTCACTTAAGGTCAATCTTCTTACTGAGGTTGTTATGAATAAGCAGATTTAGTTCAGTGAAGATGACTTTGCTGTCAGATGCATAGAAGTCACACATCTAGCACATAGTCTACAGTACAGATGAGTATAACTTAATACAGAGCACTATATGATGTGTTAAAAAAGAGGTAGAGACTCTAGGAAGGATTGTGCCAATATGAAATAGTCTGGGAAAACTGAAGACAGCAAGCAGAATTTGTAAGTTAAGTCTGAAATAATGGGTAGAATTTGACAGGCCCAGTAGCAAGTGGATGTATTTTAATTTAGATTTAGAGAAAATCTTGTTAAATACTTGAAGATGGAGATGGATATGTTCAGGTGAGATATCCCTTGTGCTAGAAAGTCATTATCATTATCAATGATGAATGTACCAGTGATAGAGTGTAAAAGGAAACCATAGCCATATTTTGAAACATAGGTGAAAATATTTATTGAGGCAATTGTTGAGTCCAGGCCCTTGCTGCTTGGTGTGGCATCAGCTGGAAGCTCATCAGCCGGGCAAAATCTTAGGCTCCATTTTGGACCTGCTGAATAGGACTGACATCTGACAGTACAATTCCAA